GGCAGCTACCATGTTCATGACTCCACACTCAACTCCAAGCACCAGCTTTGAAGCCAAGTGCCCAAGGTCACTAGTTTTAATGTAAAATACAATGATGACCAAAACAGACTTCACTCACTTAGACTTCACTCCTATTGCTGATAGTCAGTCATCCCCTGAACCCCCTACGAGGGCTGCTGCATTTAGATCACCACATAAAATTTCTTCACTATATGCAGGATATTGAATTTCCTCAAGTTATATGTTTGTCAGTCCCAGCTGTCCTGGAGCTCTTGGGCCTTTCATATACCTCCCATGATGTCCCTGGAATGACTAGTCCCAGGACTACTAGTGGCATACTTGCATACTTGTTACATGTGTCATCAATGTCACATTGTGTGTGTGTGTGTGTGTGTGTGTGTGTGTGTGTGTGTGCTGCTGGGGATTGAACCCAGGGCTTCATTCATGCTAGGCAAGCATTCCACTACTGAGCTACATCCCCAAGCCCCATATCATAAATCTTGGTACTGATCTTAACATACCACATGGGCATTTTATCATATTTTGAGTATATAGTAATATACATCACATAAATATTGAGTCTAATAAGAAAGAAACTGCCTTGGTTTGGTGGCAAATTCAAATTAAGCTCAGCTAACAATAAAACATCTAAGTGCTCAGATACTTTATGGAAAAGTGCTTCATGCTACACTGTCCAAACATCAAGCAGTTTAGCTTCTGTGAGAGGAGCAAGACTAAGTTCTAAAGATCTCAGTAATATCCTTTGAATAGCATTAAAATGCCTGGCTCTAAAAATGTCTAAAATAGCTTTCCTCCATCATCCACTCTGAATCTTCCCAACATTCCTCCTTCCATTATAGTGGATGATATGAAGTTGGATGTTAGTAAAGCCTTTTAAATTCTTTCAGAAAGATCACAAAATGCTGTTTATTTGATTAATTCTTTATTGCCTCTATAATTCCATCCCTATCATGATTCCATAATTTGTTTCAATTGTTTTCTCTGAGTGGGAGCTCCTATTTCTCATTTTCTGTCTCTCTATATATATTAGCCTGCTTCATTCTACACTTCCATTCCAGGGGTGGTGGCACACACCTGTAATCCCAGCTAGTTGGGAGGCTGAGGCAGGAAGATGGCAAGTTGGAGCCCAGTCTGGGCAACTTAGTGAGAACTTGTCTCAAAATAAAAATAAAGGGTTGGGGCTGTAGCTCAGTGGTAAAGTGCTTGCCTGGCATGTGTGAGGCACTGGGTTTGATCCTCAGCACCACATAAAAATAAATATATTGTGTGTCCACCTGCAACATACAAATATTTTTAAAATAAACAAATAAATAAAAAGGGCTGTTGCTATAGCTTAGTGGTAGAGTGCTCCTGGGTTCAATCCCTAATACTGCAAACAAAAACTATACTTTCATTAGGCAAATAAAAACTATATTTTCATTAGGCAAACAAAAACTATACTTTCATTAGGCAATTAATATCTCCCACCTGTCCCTATACCTATTACTAGCATCTCCTGAACTTATTTAATTACTTTTTTTTTTTCACTGCCCATGTATTTCCTTTGAAATTGTGCGCTCAGATCAGGACAAACCTCCCAGATAGAGTGATGATCTTCTCAACCACCTCCCATTATGGGTTTTCTCCTTTCAAATCTTCTCATTGATGACATCTTCAATTTCTTTTTCTATTTATACTTGATCTCTTTTCTCTTGGCATTCCAATGTCATTTATTCTTATCTTAGTTTTTTCATTTTTTTTTTTTTTTTGCTGCCTTTTATAATGATTGCTTTATTCACTCATTCAACCAACATATGTGGAAGAGGGCTGGAAATGAGGGTAGCGAAAGTCTGAATTTTAAGTACAAATGTAATTTTGAAAGTTTCACTTCATTGATTCATTGTGACAACCTCAGAAGAGCTCCCTCATAAAGAGGAATGAACAGAGTTTGGAGATGTTACTTGGTCAAGCCCAGACAACTGGAAACAGATGGAACTGAACTTGAAATATTCTTGGCATCATTTTCTGTGCTCTTTCCACAACCATGTTAACTTCTTTCAAGGTGAGCAAATAAGAGCCCTTCCTGCTGAATCTGTCTTATTTGTTTGGTACACATAGTAGCTGCTAGTTTGGTTTTTACATCTACATTTGAATGCCTTTTTATTGGGCCTTCATTTGTCAATCTTCCAATGTTCCCTCTAACCCCTGTGGTCACCTTGAAACAAAGAATAAAAAACGTTCCAAAGAAGCTAAAACTGGTATGTTCTCTGGCTACCACAGCCCAGCTAAATCTACATATGTATATCACCTGGCTTTTGTTTCTAAATTGTAACTGCTTCTGTGGGTCCACGATAAACCCAGCCTAATTCCCTCTTAAGATTGGGAGCCATTTTGTCACAAAGGCATGAAAAGTTGATTTCAGCTTTAGCATAAATTACTTGCTTGAAATGCCTGCCCATGCCTTGGTTTCCCTGGCCAGATAACTGAAATTCTAGTGGTGCCTCGTAAATTCTGATGTTGGGATCTAAATTTACTCCCTATGTGCTGGACCATTAACCTATTACCTGCCTTTGTGTTATACTTGTGAAAATCCTGTTATCTGTAAGGTCTTAAGACACCGCCCCCCCCCCCCCCCACCATTTGCAACTTTCTGTTGCTTAGGCTCAGGCCTAAGGTCATCCTCAGAGAGAGGATAAAGCTGCGCTCCTAGAAAGCTGTGGGGCTGTCTTCTGTTCCCACGGGTTTTAGGAGAGAGAGCCCCAGCCGGTAGGAGTTACAAGCTTGCTTTAATTTGATTTCAATTGGAGTTGGTGGTCTTTTCTTTGCGACATGGTTTAACAACCAGTAGAGAAAAAAATCTTGCTGTTTCTCCCCAGTTTGATAAAACTGCATACAATTCATTTTTGGTTTTCCATTGTTTATTTCTTACATGGGCAGATGGCAGGCAGGTCCCTTGGCTTGGCAGCCAGCAACAACATCATATACATGTGCACGTTTGTGTGTTGCAAGGGGACAAAATTGCAACATATGCAGTCAAGGAGAGAAATAAAGAATGTCTACATGTTTCTGCCCCTTTCAATGCTTTATTCACTCAAATTGCTCAATACAATTTCACTCTATAGGTTCTTAAGAAAAGGACAATCCTTAATACTAGGCACTGCAATAGACATAATCAATTCACAGCAAACAATTCTAGATTAACTCTAAGCACTGCAAACACACTTAATCATGACAGGCTAATGACAGACATTCCCTCTGCATGCTAAGTTCAAAAGTCTTTAGCCTTAGGCTTTAAGTCCAGCAGATGCACACTCACTCAGACCACGGTGATCAGGTCTGAGTGAACCAAGGAAGGCTTTTCCTGGTGTGGAGTGGATGACTGGTTGAGGAGGGGGTCATAGGGAGGAGTTGCGGCTCTCACCATGGTCCAGATAAGGTTGTAGAGTTTGAGAGCAGTGAGGATGGAAAGAGGATCCTGTCACTGACAAGTGACAGGATGTCAGGTCCTCATCAGGCTCTCCAGCTTGATTGCATCCTTGTTTCGGCTGGCTGAATTCCTGTTCATCAACTCTATTATTTATACTAAATTTTGGGGCTTTTGACCCCCCCCACCCTTTCAATCTTTATCAGCTACCTCTGGATTTCTCCTTGACATCTTTACCCTGGGGTCAGAAACATCCAGCCTGCCAGAGGTTTCACTCTGTTTATCAGAGTGAGTGGAAGTAACTTGCTTGAGGCTGTTCGGGAGGGATCTGTTGTATGTACTTGGTGAGACTGCCGGTTTCAAACTGGAGTTTATAAAATGAAGTTGCTTAGGCTCAGGCCTAAGGCCATCCTCAGAGAGACAGACAGATAGACAAACTTACTTTCCTGGCTCTTAAGCCCTGAAAGTTTCTTCAAGCTCAGTATGGAATATCCGCTCCCAAAAATCAAGAAAGCTGAGCTAAAAAGTCATAGCTAGGGAGTGCACTAATTTTACTATAAGGGTTAAAAAGAAGAAAAATGATCGAAGCTTTCCCTATTGTCAAAAGGATAAAAGGATGAGATATTTTTCCTTCTTCCTTTACTTTGAGGATTTTCTTGGGGGAAAAAAATCTGTAATTACATTACTTCCTCTGTGTCTCTGTATATATATAAAAGTTAAATAAGCCTCTGTCAGATACAAACATGGGATCTTTTTCTTAAGGTTCTGGGACACAACTTTGAAACGTCAATATCAAGAAAGATGGTCCTCCATCTCCTGTCACCAAGGAAGTTATCCAAAGTGGCTTGTGCCAAGATCTAAGAATCTTGTCAGAAAGGGAGGGGGGGAGCAGGTGGAGGGGGGAGGAGGACGGGCAGAGGGAGGGGGGAAAGGGGAGGGGGGAGGAGGAGGGGGAAAGGGGAGTGGGGAGGAGGAGGGGGGAGAGGGAGGGGGGAACGGGGGAGGGGGGAATCGGGGAGCGGGGGTGAGGGGAGCGGGGAGCAGGAGCGGGGAGGGCTAGTGATAGTTTTGTTTTTGTTTTTCCTTTGGGTAAAGGCAAACAATTAACAAGGCCAGCCACCCCAAGGGTGAACTACTGAAGAATGAGTGGCAAACGGTGCCCTCTTACAGGAGAACATGCACGTAATGGGTTGCATCTGCTTGGCTACATAAAAGGTATTATTTCCGTCCTTCTTTGCAATCTCATTAATAGATCATTTGTGATGCTCAAACTAGTTTGGATGGATACTTATAGATTAATAAAACCCCTTCCTTTCTACATTTTTCTACATTTGTGATTTCCTGAGATGGCAGGAAATTTAATTTTAAAAATTTCCTCGACAAAATCCATTTATTTAAGTCCCCAACCAGTGCAAGCCTGCCTCCGCTCCCATCTTCCCATCTGCTCTCAGACTTACGCCGGAGGCGTTGGGGCTGGGACCCACGTTGAGGCTCTCTGGGAAAAGGCGGTGAGATAATGCGGTCCCTCACCGCGAGATAACGCGAGAGCCACAATTCCCTGCGTTCCCTGCGCCCTCGGCCCGGCGGCGGCTTCTTCCGGTTCGCAGGCTTCGGAAACCGAAAGGACTGTGCCTGGGACACCGCGCCGAGACCGATTCACCTTCACCTGTGCAGAGCGCCAGCTGACCCGAGGAGGAAGCCAGGCGAGCAGTGGAACATGAACGGAAGGGTGGATTATTTGGTCACTGAGGAAGAGATCAATCTTACGAGAGGACCCTCAGGTATATGCGGGACTTGACTCGGAGCAGGGGACTTGAGGGTGTAATTGCAGAGCAGACATTTGTTTTGCTAACCCGGGTTTACCTGACCTCGGGGCAGGCAGGCCCCAACCTCGAAGTTTCCTGTAAGCTTTCAGGCACGTAGGAAAAACCTTGGCATCCATCATTAGTCAGATAACGGGTCTGAGGACTCGGCTTCATAATCCAATCGGTTTACCACATGCGTTCACAGCCAGGAAGGGATTCTGTCAGCTAACGGTGCTAGACAAAACGAGAAAAGTCCTGCTTGTAAGCCAGCATATCGCGGATACCATCCCCTTCCTACCCTTGTCTGCTCGATCCCTGTTTTTCAGGGACCGGTTATTTTTTTACAAAAACATCCAAACTTGGTACTACTCCAGAATTGTTCAGGGTTTTTAATTTTTGCTCTTTCATTTAAAAAAACCAAAATGCTATTTCCTAGGCCCATCTTCGGAGTATTGGATTCAGTATGGATTTTGATTTTTGTCTTTTAAACTGAAAACCTCATGTGGTTCAGATATAGCCAGATGCTCACTTACCTCTTTTCCGTGACACTTCATTACGCTGTGCTTTTGACATGACTACAGCTGCCTTTCTTGAAGTTGATTGCCTTTTCTATAAGGCCGTTTAGTTTTTCCATTAAGAGTTTTAGATTTAGGATTACACTACCTAGGGCCAAATCTTTATCTAGCCTCCTACTAACTTTGTAACTGATGCAAGCCTTAATTTCTCCTCTGTAAAATGGGAATGGTTATAGAATATACTCCTCTGTAAAATGGGAATGGTTATAGAATATACTCAGAGTGTTGTGAGAGTGAAATGAGTTAATCTCTGTAAAATATTTAGAACATTGTCTGACATGTGTAAAGCAGTGTGTTTGCTACCGTTGTTATTGTTAATGGATGAATGGCTAGGTGACAGTTAAGTCTTGCCAAATACTGTATTTCAAGTGCCTCTAATCAAGTACTCTGAGTTCTCTGAAATGTCCTTTCATTCTTTTCTCTTCTCATTGCCACTACCTAGAACCATCCGTCACCTTCTCTTATGTGGAATTTTGCAATAGTTTACTCACTACTAATAGATCATTCTTTATGAAACATGACTTTCAGATTTATCCATATTTGTGTCTTCCTTCCTGTTGTTTAAAAAAAGGTGGGGGGCAACAGGCAGTTGATCTTACGATAAGATCATATCATAACTTACTGCTTCTCCCAGATTAGATCCTTCCTAATCATTCAACATTCTACACAATTTATAGATTGTCTCTTATATATTGCCAAGGTCTTTGTTTTATCTCCTATCAAGGAAAAGATGGAATTGCTATTATCCCTTGTTTTACAAATGAGGAAATCTTGACTTTTACATCATACAGCTCTTATGGGACAGATTTAAGAACTGGATCCTTAAAAATCAAACTCTGAAACACTAGAGATAATTTTATTTTGTTTTGTTTTTGTTTTCCTACTGAAGTCTCCTCTCTCTACTAGGAGGTTTTCTGATTTTTTAACAAAAATGTATATTTCAGCCAGGTATGTTAGTTTTAGGGTGTGGTGGCACACACCTGTAATCCCGGTGGATCTGGAGGCTGAGAAGGGAGGATCACAAGTTCAAAGTCAACCTAAACAACTCAGTGAGGCCCTGACTCTAATAAAATACAAAATTGGGCTGAGGATGTGGCTCAGTGGTTGAGTGTCCCTGAATTCAATCCCTGGTACCCCCCCCCACACACACACACACAAAATATATATTTCATTTCATTTCTTTTCTTTCTTTCTTTTTTTTTTTTTGGCTAATGCTTTGTCTAGTGCATGACACAAAATGAACAGTAAAGTAAATGACCAAACTGATATATTAGAATAACATAATGGAATGTGTTTCAGTAAAAAGAACCAGCAACAAGGTTTGTTTAAGCTTTTGCAAAGTCATAAACAGAATTCTCCAGTAGATAACAATTTGACAAAAAAAAGAATGAGGTTGGACATAATGTGTTATAGTGACAGCTAGGAAATTAGCGAAGATACAATAAACAAGAGGAAGAAATAGGTGGAAAAACTCCACGGAACAGAAGAGCTCTGAAGATGAGTCTAAAGGTCAGAGCATGGTGGTGCATGCCTATAATCCCAGCAGCCTAGGAGGCTGAGCAGGAGGACCAGAAGTTAAAATCAGCCTCAGCAACTGAGGCCCTAAGCAACATAGCAAGAACCTGTCTCAAAATAAAATATAAAAAGGGCTGGGGGTGGGGTGGGGAGAAGGATTAGTCTAAAGGTCTTTTCAGAACAATCCTTAAGAACATCTAGCCATTATTTGGGGGAAACAGAAATGAAAGATAAGTGGATAGGTGCATCCCACTTTGTGGAGCCATATGACTAAGTGGATTATATTTGAATAATTGTGAAATTATTTATTGAGGGAAAGACAACTAAAATGATAGAAATGTTAGTTTTAGAAGACTCAAAATTAAAGTAAAACTTTAAAATTTATTTACTGTTTGTTACATGTGTACATATGATTAGGAATTTTTGATACTGAAGGACAAGAAATGATTCTTGTACAATAGGATATTTGTTAGTCAAAAGAAAATGAGGGGCTGGGGTTGTGGCTCAGTGGTAGAGCGCCTGCCTAGCACGACATGTGAGGCCCTTGGTCAATCCTCAGCACCACATAAAAATAAATAAATAAATGAATAAATAAATAAAGGTATTGTGTCTAACTGCAACTAAAAAATAAATATTTTTTTAAAAAAGAAAGAAAATGAGACTAAGCCAGGCAGGGCAGGCCTGTAATCTAAGTGGCTTGGGAGGTGGAGACAGGAGGATTGCCAGTTCAGAGCTAGCCTCAGCAAAAGTAAGATGCTAAAAAACTCAGTGAGACCCTGTCTCAAAATAAAATACAGAATAGGGCTGGGGATGTGACTCAGTAGTTGAGTGCCCAAGTTCAATCCTCACTACAAAAAAAAAAAAAAAAGAAAGAAAATGAGAATAAAAGTGTCACTGAAAAACAAAAATCAACTAAAGGTAAAAAAAAACCCTGTATGGATGAAGTATTGTTAATTACTTAAAGTACAAGCATTAAATGTTTCAATCAATAGGCAGAATGGAATAAAAAAGATCCAATGATATTCTGTTTGCAACAGATTCACATTAAAACTAGAGATTCAAGTAGATTTATAATGAAAGAATGAAAAGGGATATTCCATTCAAAAGATTGCTGGAATGATTGTACTAATTTCACACAAAATAGATTTAATGAGTAAAAAATTACAAGACACTCAGGGACATTACATAATAAAATTTTTATTGGTTCTTTTTAGTTATACATGACAATAGAATTAATTTTGATATAATTATACAAGCATGAAATATATCTTATTCTAGTTAGGATGTACATGTGTGATGTACGTGATGGTGGGATTGATGATGGTGTATTCATATAAGTACATAGGAAATTTGTTTTGGATTTATTGCACTGTCTTTCCTTTTATTCCCTCTCTTCCCTTTCTCCCTCTTTACCTTATCTACTGAACTTCTGTTTTCTCCTCTTCCCACTTATTGTGGTTAGTATACACATATCAGCAAAAACATTCGACCTTTGGTTTTTTGGGACTGGTTTATTTTACTTAGAATAGTTGTCTCCAGGTCCATCCATTTATTTAGAAATGTCATAAAGTCATTCTTCTTTATAACTGAGTAATACTCCATTGTGTATGTATACCACATTTTCTTTGTCCATTATCTGTTGAAGAGCATCTAGGTTGGTTCCATAGCTTAGTATTGTGAATTGTGCTGCTATAAACATTGATATAAACATCACTGTAATATGCTGATTTAAAATCTTTTGGATTTAAACCAGGTTGAGATAAATGGGTCAAATGGTGGTTCTATTCCTAGGTTTTGAGGAATCTCCATACTGCTTTCCAGAGTGGTTGTACCAATTTGCAGTCTCACTCAATGTGTGAGTGTACCTTTTTCCCCACATCCTTGCCAATATTTATTGTTACTTGTATTCTTGATAATTGCCATTCTGATTGGAGTGAGATAGAATCTCAGTGTAGTTTTAATTTGCATTTCTCCAATTTCTAGAGATGTTGAACATTTTTTCATGTATTTATTGACCATTTGTATTTCTTCTTTTGGAAGTATCTGTTTAGTACTTTGCCCATTTATTGATTGGGTTATTTGGTTGTTTTAGTGTTGAGCTTTTTGAGTTCTTTGTATATCCTGGAAATTAAAACCCTATCTGAGGTACAGGTGGCAAAGATTTTCTCTCATTCTGTAGGCTGTCTCTTCATACTCTTGATTGTTTCCTTTGCTGTGGAGAAGCTTTCTATTTTGATATCATCCCATTTATTGATTATTGATTTTACTTTTTGCACTTTAGGAGTATTGTTAAGAAAGTCAGTTCCTGAGCTGACATGTTGGAGTGTGGGCCTACATTTTCTTCTAGTAGGTGCAGGGTTTCTGGTCTAATTCCTAGGTCTTTGATCCACTTTGAGTTGAATTTTGTGCAGGGTGAGAGATAGGGGTTAAATTTCATTTATGTAGGGATTTCCAGTTTTCCCAGCACCATTTTTTGAAGAGGCTATTTTTTTTCCATTATATGTTTTTGGCACCTTTATCAAGTTTGAGGTAACTGTAATCTGTGGGTTTGTCTCTGTGTCTTCTATTCTGTTCCGTTGGTCGTCTTATCTGTTTTGGTACCAATGTCATACTGCTTTGTTACTATAGCTCTGTACTATAATTTAAGGTCTAGTACTGTGATGCCTCCTGCTTTGCTTTTCCTTGCTAAGGATTGCTTTGGCTATTCTGGGCCTCTTAATTTTCCAGATCAGTTTCATGACTGCTTTTTTTTATTATTTATATGAGGAATGTCATTGGAATTTTGATGAGAATTGCATTGAATCTGTAAAGCACTTTTGATAGTATGGCCATTTTGATATATTAATTCTGCTTCTTCAAGAATGTGGAGGGTCTTTCCATCTTCTGAGGTCTTCCTCAATTTCTTTCTTTGCTATTCTGAAGTTTTCATTGTAGAAGTTCTTTACCTCTTTTGTTAGAGTGATTCCCATGGGACTATTGTGAATGGGATAGTTTTCCTAATTTCTCTTTCAGCTATTTGTTGTAATATAGGAATGCAGTTGATTTTGGGGTGTTAATTTTGTATCCTGCTACTTTGCTGAATTCATTTATAATTTCTAAAAGTTTTCTGGTGGAGTTTTTTTGGTCTTCTAAATATAAGATCATGTTGTCCGCAAACACATATAGTTTGAGCTCTTCTTTTCCTACTTGTGTCCCTTTAATTTCTTTCTTTTGCCTAATTGTTTCAGCTAGAATTTCAAGGACTACGTTGAATGGAAGTCGTAAAAGTGACCACCCTGTCTTGTTGCAGTTTTTAGAGGGAATGTGTTCAATTTTTCTCTGTTTAGAATGATGTCAACCTTGGATTTGTTGTATATAGCTTCTACAGTGTTTAACTATGTACCTTTTTAAAAAAAAAAAAAAGTTTATTTTTTAGTTCTAAGTGGACACAGTTTCTTTATTTCATTTTTTTATGTAGTACTAAGGATCCAACCCAGTGCCTCACACATACTAGGGGAGTGCCCAACCACTGAGCCACAACCCCAGCCCATGTTCCTTTTTCCCTATTTTTTACATAATAATTATTAAAAAATCAGTTCATCAGAAAGAATAATAACTGTAAACTTACATGCACTAAACAACAGAGTCCCAAAATACATGAAGCAAATGTTGAAGAATTAAAGGGAAAACAGATGATTTTACGGTAATAGTTAAATTTTAGTAGTCCAGTTTTCAGTAATAGGACTGTTAGCAGATGAATAAAGAAATACAGGTCTGAACAACATTATCAACAAATTAGACCTAACAGACATACAGAACATTCCATCAAATAATGGCAGAATACCATTTCTCAATATATGATATTGGATTAACTAGACATTCATTTGCATAAGAATGAGTTTGTATCCTTGCCTTATGCAGTATATAAAAATTAAAAATTTATGAATACCTAAGTTTAAGAGTTAACACTATAAAACTCATAGAAGAAGAGATAGGAAAAATCTTCATGACATTGGATTTGGTGATGATTTGTTGGATATGACAGCAATCGCAAAGACAACAAAAGAAGAATAAGAAATAGGGCTTCATCAAACTTAAAAATGTTGTGTATCAAAGGCCATTATCAGGAGTATTAAAGACAATCTACAGAATCAGAGAAGATATTTATTATTTCTGATAATAATTAACAAGCAGAATATGTAAAGAACTCAAACTCAACAACAACAACAAAACAAATTAAAAATGAGCTAAGGACTCATCTTCCATAGAAGATGTACAAGTGGCTGATAATCACATGAAAAACATATTCAACATCACTAGGCATTTGGGAAATGCAGATCAAAACCACAGTGGGATGCTACTTTACACCCACTGGGATGACTATTATAAAATAAATAACAAATCTTAGGAAAGATGTGGAGAAACTAGAACCCTATGCTTGCTAATAGGAATGTAAAATGGTACAACCACTGTGGAAAACAGTTTGGCAATTCCTCTTATCATAAAACAAGGATTACCCTGTTTTCTAATACTTCCACTTCTGTATATACCCAAAATAATTGAAAGCAGAGACTCAAACAGATGATTGCATACCAGTATTCATAGGAGTATTATTCATAGTAGCTAAAATGTGGAAATACTCCTAATGTCCCTTGACAAATTTTTAAAATTTGGTATATTTAATCAGTAGAATAATATTCAGCCATTAAAGGAAAGAGATTCTGATACATGTTATAATGTGGATGAACCTTAAAGACATTCTACTAAGTGAAATTAGACACAAAAGAGAATTATATTATTCCACTTATTAGATATATAGACAGAATACATGATAGAGGTTGCCAAGATGTGGAAGGAGGAGAGAATGAGGAGTTATTGTCTGATGGGTATAGAGGTGGGTATTTTTGTTTATTGGTTTTGTGAGTGTGTGTGTGTGTCTTTGTGAAAATTCTGGATATGAATAGTGATGGTTGTACAATATTGTGAATGTTCTTAATGCCACTGAATTATATAATTAAAAGCCATTAAAACTATAAATTTTACATTAAGCATGTTTTACCATATTAAAGATTTTGTACCCAATAGTTTACTTGATGTCTGATGAAAATTAGTGGGATTGATTTTGTGGTAGAAAAAGTTTCCATGTAGACAGAAGGACAAATACAGTGTTTGTCAATCTAGTGTTCATAACATCCTTGATGTTAATTGACTATTTTGTTTCATATTAATTATATCCAGAACAACAGGTTGAACGGTTATTTTACTTTATAACTTAAAGACTTTATAGACAAGAATCTGAACGAAATGCAGGGTTTTTCCTTCTCTGACCTAAAGATAAGCAGTAGGAACCTACTACTATGACAAAACTCCAGTCTTTCTTCTGGAATATATTATGATGGGGACTGTTCTCAACCACTATCTTAACATTGTTTTTTTCAGAGCTAGCTCAAAGACCAGTTGGCTCCCAAGATAGCAAGCAGTGCTTAAAAGACTTTTTTCTAAAATAGTACATTTTTCTACAAGGATACAGTATGGCAAAATGGTTAAAAGCTTAGACCTTGGCATCAAACAGCCTCACTTGGAGTTTTGGCTTCACCAAAAGCTTTGTGACCTTTTGTAAAGTTGCCTAATCGCTCCGTAACTCTTTTTTTTTTTTTTTTTTTTTGGTACTGGGAATTGAACCCAGGGGCATTTAACCACTGAGCCACATCCCCAGTTATCTACCCTCACCCCTCTCTGTTTTTTTTTTTTTTTCTCTATTTTATTAGAGACAGGGTCTTGCTGAGTTGCTTAGGGCCCTGCTAAATTGCCTAGGCTGGTTTTGAATCCTCCTGCCTCAGCCTCCTGAGCCACTGGGATTACAGGTGTGTGCCAACTGCACCAGCCTTCATAACTCATTTTTAAAATTCATCTGTATGGAAGTATAATTTATACTATATTACTTCATAGATATTAAATACTCAGCAAATATTAATTGTTGCTGTTGCTGTTGCTGTTGCCTTTACTTATAAATGGGCTCAGGGTCCAGACCTGTAGTCAGGAGGAGTCTAGAAGAATGTGTTTCTCATTTAGCTTTCCAAGGTTCTTCTACTAAACACACTTTCTTTTCCTCTCAATCCTCTAATGGTATCATCCTGTACTACCTGCAACCTTTTCTTTTTTGGGAGTGTGTTTGGACTGCTCATCAAAATTAGAGACTGAGCAACCCATTTTAATTTTGTTATATTTTAAAATTTATTAGCATATTATAACTAGAGTTCACTAAGCAATATTTTTCATTCACTCGGTTTTTTAAAATATTTGCTGAATCCCAGTCTTTTCTTTCTCCCATTGGCCTTCATCCTTTTTGGACCTTAGATGTTGAGAGTAGATTAATTATATCCTTCAGCTCCATAACATACTATTGTCATCAGTATGTCCCTCTCTGGTCTTATTTTTACCCTTCAAACCTAACCTCCACCCTGTATGTTCTTCCCTTTGAGTATCTACTCTGATATGTCTTTACATGCACTTTGTAAACAGGTAATAGTTTTGTATTTACTTATGGGAAGATAGTATGTTGTGAATATCAACATGACATTTTAAAACTCTACCTATGTTTTTTTAAATTATTTTTTAGCTGTCAATGGATCTTTTATTTGTTTGTTTTGTTTATATGTGGTGCTGAGGAGCTAACCCAGGGTCTCACGCATGCCAGGCAAGCGCTCTACCACTGAGCCACAACTCCAGCCCCCTATCCATTTTATTTTAATATGATTATTAGTGCTTCTAACTTTTAACTGTATTTTAATCTGTTTTCCAAAAGATGAACATTTAGATTACTGTCAGTTCCACACTACCACAAAATGTCCTGCAGTAAACATAGTTTTACATTAATATTTGTAGATGGGATGATAATATGTGTCCAAACTGGGATGATTTTGAAATTGAAAAGGAACACTTAATAACACTGGGGCAGAAGGTGTATACCACGACTTCCAGACAAACCAGAGTATGTGAACACCCTATTCATGAAAGATTTTTCTAGAGTATAGCTAATAATTAGAAGATATGTACTGGATAGGCTTTCTCCTTCCAGTTGTTTCAGATTGGCATCTGTTCCAGTTTGTTGATAAAATGTGCTGGATGATTGTTGCAAATTTAAAATTTCACCCTTGCCAGAAAATACTCCTAAAGGGGATTTCTAGGTCACAGGTTATAGACATACTTAATTTCAATAGTTTAAGTTCTAATGTAGTCTTTTCCTGTTTATAGGTGGGTGGACTTTTAAATCTGTCTAACCATTTTTCAGGAGTTCTCACATTTGTACTGTGTATTTATTCCTCCTTTTGCAGCAAAACTATATAGTTTTGGTAAGTAGCCATTACTAGTTTATTGATAACTACTCCTAGAACCTTACTCCAATATAACAACTACTGTGTATTTTATAAAGAATTTTTTTCATATTTTATGTTATTGGGTCCTAGTATTACTCTTTGAGGTAGAGAGGGCAGAATTTTTAATCCTTGTTTTACAGAAAAGGAAGCTGAGGATCAGAGATAAACTGACTCACATTTCTGGTAAGTTATGGAGTTGAACTTGAAATCGTTTCTTTTATTTGCTTCTACAGTATTTAAAAGGGACAGGCAAAAAGATAAACTTCTGTTTGTGATTAAAACAGGGATTGTCCAGTTTAGCTTTGCCTTATTCAGAACCTAACACAGTACCTGACATGTGGTAAATAACAAATGTGAACAAATAAACTGGGGATTATCTAGGGATACACAGGGTCCAAGTTTAAATTTTTATTTTAATTTTAATACTGGGAATTGAACCCAGGGACTCCTGTGCATTTGTATGCTAGGCAAATGCTGTCCAATTGAAGTATATGGTTGAGTTGAAACACTGTTACTCAATGTTGTGGAGACTTCCATTTATAGTAGCAAGGCTTTGAGTTATAGATGAGCTCAGTTCTGTAAAAGTGGATGAAGAGGGCTTTACATCAGTCCAGGAGTTCTCATTTTAAGTGGTTTGGTTCATTTATGACAGAAGTTAGCAATGAGTTATAAATGTACCTATATAATGTGATATTAAGGGGTGGGTAGTAGAATGTGCTTGTTTATAATAAGTCTCAGTAAGATTTCTTCTACTTATCTTCTTTTGGATACTGTTCTATTGCTTTAAATAACCTGTGGCAGAGTTCCTTCTCTTGCTAACTGTTGTAATGCATTTGGCTACTTAATACTTGCTTTCTTTTGCCAAGATCCCCAGAGACAACAGCATTTTGGTGACACTCCAACCATACTGAGGATGTTGGATTTCATTGAAAGATTTTCTATAAATAGTTTGTCCCAGGATTGGGACAGGCTGATTGGCCTCATCCCCCTTACCCAAACCTGCCATTGTTTTGAAGTCATTTCAGAGCCTTCCATAATCTGGATCTGTCTACCTTTTCACTTCATCTCAAGTTATCAGAACCTCCCTAACACCCCCGTCTTCTATGATACAAATTAAGGGTGTATCTTTCATCCTACCAACAGGGAAAACTTTTTAGAAAGCCCACATATTTTCTCTTTTTAAGTATATGTTTTCACATTTTCTTTATTCATTAATCTGTTTTCTTGAACAGATACTTAAAGAGAGGCTAGTAGTATAAAGCTGTCTATGCCTATTCCTTCCAGTTGCACCAATGCATTTTGTTTTTTAATTGTTTCCAAATTATCTCCCTTCTCTTTGTACTGTGGCCCTGAATTGTACCAACCAGTAGTTAACATAAAGAAGCCCCTAAAGGAGTTTCGGAGTTTCTTTTTCCTTCCACTTTTTTTTTTTTTTTTGGTACTGAGGATTGAACCCAGCGGTGCTTAACCACTGAGCCACATCCCCCACCCCCCCACCCCCGCTTTTTTTAAATTCAGAGATAGGGCCTCACTAAGTTGCTGAGGCTTGCTTTGAACTCATGATCCTTCTGCCTTAACTTCCCAAGCTACCGGGATACAGGTGCGCATGGTGGTGCCTGGCATCTCCACATTTTTTATTGTTGTATTATAGTTGTACATATTGATGGGATTTGTTGTTGCATATTTGTACATGCACACAATATAACAACATAATTTTGCCAATATCATTCCCCTGCATTCCCCCCTTCCCTTCCTGCCTTCTACTCCTTGGTTGCTTTCCTCTACTGATCTTTTGATTTTTAGGGGGTCCATTCTGACCTTTGATTTCCTTTTTCCCCTCCAGTTTCCACATATGAGAGAAAACATACAACTCGTGAATTTCTGAGTTTAACTTATTTTACTTAACATGATGGTTTCTAGTTTGATTCATTCTCCTACAAATGCCATAATTTCTTTTTTCTTTATGGTTGAATAAAACTCCTTTGTTATATATCACATTTTCTTTATCCATTCATCTGTTGATGGACACCTAGGCTGATTGAATAGTTTGGCTATTTTGAATTATGTCTTCTTTTCTTAAATGCATAGGTAAAATCCCTTTATGACAATGGTTTCTATAGAGTGAAATTCTTTCTACAGCTTAGTGGTTGGTCCATGAAAACGGCACTTTGTTAGCTTACTAGCTTTGTTAGCTCAGCTGGCTTGTTAGCTTGCTTGCTTTCTGTATTTTATTATAATAAGAACAGTTAAATCTACCCTGTTGACATATTTTGAAGTGTCTGGATCTGTCTACCTTTTCACTTCATCTCAAGTTATCAGAACCTTCCCAACACCCCCATCCTCTGTGATACAAATTAAGGGTGTATCTTTCATCCTACCAAGAGGGTACTTAATATTGTATTATTAAGTGGGATTTGGAGGGGCTGAGGTCTCTCACAGCTAGTGTGGAATTTGAACACATCCCTAGTACTTCCTTACATTGCATTTTGTGTGTGTGTGTGTGAGAGAGCAGCTTTCAAAGTTAAACTTGTGTCAATCTGTAAGCACAGTGTTCTATAGCAGATCTCTAGAACTCATTCATTTTGCATAACTAAAATTTTATACCCATCCAAAATAGTTAAACTCATAGAAATGAAGAATAGAATCGTGTTTTCCAGGAACTAGAGATTTGGCAGATGGGCAGTTGGTAGTCAGTAGGGAATCAGTTTTATCTAAAGTGAATAAAATTTGGTCATGACTATACCCAAGTATGTGGTTATTTGTACTTGAGATTAAAAACAAAAAAAAGGGGGGGGGGATTTTGGTTCTATGTCCACCATGAAGCATCAGTTACCTTTCTGGTTTTGAGGTTTCCTACCAACACCTATACATTGTCCTCCTCCCATAACACAAAATGGAAAATAATAAATGAAATTCCCAAGATCACTTCTTCCAAAACTGCCATATACAAATTCTCCAGAATCTTGAGAGAAGTATGGAGGGGAAGTTATGGTTGGAAATCTCTCAATTAAGAACAATTCATTTCATAATTGGTTAAAAGCTTAGGTTCTTATGAACGCAGCTAATCCTATTACATTAATAATAGAAATGCCAGGAATGCCATCAACAGGATCAAAATCAAATGTGAGCAGAACCACTTAACATCTTACAGGAATGACTATATTCTTTAATTGTATGTAGATCTTTCTGTATGTATTCAACAGGTCATCTTGATCTCTGTGTTTGTATTTTCAGTCCTACCTGACCTGAGTGGGCAACTTGGTATTCTTGACCTTAACTCTTGAACTTAACTGACCTTGCTTATGACTATTGTAGCTGCCTCACAGTCTGACTTACCAGCCTCTCCTCCCCTAGGCCTTTTCTCTCTCTTTACTTCTCTAATCCCTTTTCTTTCTTCTTCACCCCCATCTCCTTCATTCCTCCATGATTTTCTCAGGGCTGGGCTTCAACATCGTCGGTGGGACAGATCAACAGCATGTCTCCAATGACAGTGGCATCTACGTCAGCCGCATCAAAGAGAATGGGGCTGCCGCCCTGGATGGGCGGCTCCAGGAGGGTGATAAGATCCTCTCGGTGAGAACTGGCTTCTGCCTCCTTTGCTGTACTGTGCTCCGTAGTTCTTAGGTCCTACCCTAACCCCTTTCTTAGAAAGATTCCTGCCTACCTTTTTGGATCTGGAAATATCCAGATTATATAGTTGAATGGGACAAACCTTGCTCAGTCTTCCAGCTCTACCATTGGGCTTAGAGGATAATATGATCTTTAGTTGACAGACATAGCAAATTAAACCCATAATATGAAATTACTTGCCCAAGTTCCAAAAATCACAAATCAAAGAGAGGTGAAGGACTGGTGTGGGGAAGAGATTTAAAACCCACAATTTTCATCATTTTTTCAATATTTTATTACCTCTCTTTTGCTAAAAATTAAAAAATGAATTTGTATTTTTTTTGGGGGGGATTGTTAGCCTCTATAAATTGATTTAGTTTCAAAGAAGAAAAGCAGGAATTCAGTGTATTTTCTTACCCATTATAGACTCAGAGCTCTTTCTTACCCATTATAAAGATGAAATATTGGAATGCAGTTTAACTTTGCTATCTTATCAACTGTGCTCCCATTTCATCCTGCTAACCCAGTATCAAAATAAATTAGACTTAGCCTATAGTAAATCAGAATACTGGCAAAATAAGAATTTTAAAACTATTAAAATGCACAGCATACATCTGGCCTCACTTTTCATTTCTATTCCCCATCATTGGCTATAGTATCACAGTATCTCAGTTGTGAGAGAGGTAGGAAGGTTAGGTGATTTTTTTTTTTTGTCTGTTTTTTGTTTTGTTTTTGGTGATCCTGGGGATTGAACCCAGGACTTTTTGCATGCTAGATAAGCACTCTGCCAACTAACTGAGCTATATCCTCAGCCTGGTTAGGTGATTTTGTAGATTTTTTTTTTTTTTTTAATTAAAACTCCAGGGCTAGCTGAAAAATAACCAGCTAATTACTAGTTGTAAATGATACAGTTGATTGTTATAAAGAATGGAGGAGTGTTGTGGGGGGTAAGTTTTACATTCTTTGGAGTTAGATGGGGGCTTCAAAGGGCTAGACATAAATAAATGGAAATTTGAACTAGGTTCTTTCTTTATGGAAAAAAAACCCTACTTTCTTCTTCACTTGGGCCATAGACCATGAGCCCATGGTCTGAAGAGGAAAAAACTTTTTCTTTCTCTTATGAATGAGGCACAAAGGTTAAGTTGGGAAGAGGCTGAAATAGATGGATGTAATTTAGGTTAAGAGAAGTCTTGATTAAAAAATTAGTCTAAGAGACTTAATTTTGAATCTGCCTCTATAAGATAGGTATATCCCTTTAAAGACTTTGTTGTAGCTTTGTTTAGAATTTTCCCTTTTGAATTATATCTCATGCAGTCCAGTTGAATAGTGATTAAAGGACATATGTGGGAAGTCTCCTGGTCCTCTGAGTTGTCAACTTATTAGACACTTCTTTGTCATCCAGCCCATTTTATAGTAATATGTGTAGGCAGAGATACAAAGAAAACAGAACGTCCACCTCTTCTTCCCTTGGTCTCTGAGTATTCAAGAGATCAGGCTCAGCAATAGTTCTGAATACCTCTTCAAGAAAGCTTAGTCCCCAGAAAATCAGAACACATAGCTATTAGAGATATCTAAATTAACTCAAAAATATTTTTTAAAAAATGTGTCCTAACTGATCCAGAATATAAATATAATCTCATGTATGGCTTTATTTCAGTCCATCTCACTGTTTTTACTGTGTTCTAGCCCATTAAGCTTCTCTTAGGTGCTGTTTATTAACCTTGTAAGATGGAGACAGGGATAATCTACCTTTCATCTCAAATGTATATTGAAGAGTTTAGAAGCACATGATGTCCTATGGCTCCCCAGAGAAAGACATCCTAAAAACTGTAAATCAACTTGGCAATGGTATAGTAAGGAAAAAGAGTGGGTGGTTAAAATAAAGGTATAGCATGTAGGTAGGATCTATGTGGTTTAGTAATTTGAAACACAAATTACAATCTCAGACAGGCTCTGTGGTTAAAGAAAGACTTGAGTAATAAAGGGGTTAAGAAGAGAACTATAGTATTTGAAAAGCTTTGGTTAAATGTAGGTTATTGCAAAATGAAAACAATGAGAAGTTTTTAAGCATTAAATGACAAGTAGCATTTTTAGAACTTCAGACCTAATCTTTTTTTTTTTAAATATCATCTTTATTGGCTATATGATATTTCTTTCTTTTTTTTTTTTTTTTGGTACTGGGAATTGAACTCAGGGGCACTTAACCACTAAGCCACACCCCCAGCCCTATCTTGTAAAATTTATTTAGAGACAGGGTCTCACTGAATTGCTTCATGCTTTGCTAAGTTGCTGAGGCTGGCTTTGAACTCTTGATCCCCCTGTCTCAGCCTCTGAAGTTGCTGGGTCTACAGTGTGTGCCACTGTGCCTGGCAGACCTAATCTTGTATAATATTATAATAACCCTATGAGGTGGATATGATCATTATGCCCATTTTGCAGCTAGGGAAACTGAGGCTTGATGAAGTCAAGCAGCTTGCCTAAGGCCTCATAAATAATAAGTGTTGGGGAACTAAAACTGTGGTCTGTCCAAACTTGAAGTCTCTGTTCTTATCCACTGTGCCTGTATGGTCAGTTAACAGTAGATGGTAATCATACTCATACTGAAATTGGTTTTTCTCTAGAAGATGGACTTATTGGAAGGCCTCTGAAGTTTTAAAATAGGGCTGGGGGGTAGTGATGGATAGTGAGAGATTACTGTCAATGAAAGAAAAGTAGATGATTAAAAAACTCAGCTTACCTATCTTTAAAATTTATAGTAAATAGGATTTTACTTTATCAAAACACATGTTGAAAAAGAGAAGGGAAAATGTCAGGGGATAGAAAGGCAGAAATAGAAAACAGGTATGCAGGAAATAAGACAGAAAAAGATGGAGACATGTAAGAGGAAAGGGCAGCATATTCTCTCTAGCTAGGCCTACATTCCTTTGACTTCAATTTCCCATCTAAGTTTGCTCCAAAATTTTCTTTGTAGATCCCTTTCCTTAACAAACACTGTGGAACAGTCTCTGTTACCTCACTCATCCATGGCATCATATTCCCTCTCTATGCTTAAGTTAATCCATTAGGCCATAACCATGAAATGGTTTCATCTGTTTAGCTTACTTCATCCTTTAATGTACTTACATATTCATTTATTATTGGCTTTGATGTCTCTATGAATGACTTTAAATTATTAGCATATATTTCCTTAAAATTTTTTTTTAGTTGTAGATGGACACAATACCTTTGTTTATTTTTATGTGGTGCTGAGGATTGAACCCAGTGCCACACACATGCTAGGCAAGTGCTTTACCATTGAGCCACAATCTCAGCTCCAATATATTTCCATTTTTTAATGGATTTTTCTATTCTCCTGATATGGGTTATTTTTCCATGTTTTAAAATGTGCCTCACTTTTTTCTAATAACTTTTGTGAGATAATCAAATTAAGAATATGTTCCTTGGCACACATCCATTTTAGATAATTAATAGAAGTATCATTCAGTGACCTGTAAATTTTTTGAGTTATTATTGACTATCTTTTTATTCTTTCCAAGTAATACCCACATATTGTCTTGATTTCAAGTTCTAAAATTGAATAATTGCATGGTATATCATGTAGTGCCCTCTTTTCTCATCAAAAAGTAAAATTTAATTTTTTATGATTTCAACAAAAAAAAGAATAAAAATTTAAAACTAATCAATGTTAAATAATTTTTTAAAGGTTGTGTTGTATGGGAAACAAAAATAGTTATTAGTAATGGAGAAAAAGACCTGAAAGCTGGAAATTCCTTCCTTCCTTATTTATTTAAGTGTGTGTGTGTGTGTTGATGAGGATGGTTTCATATTAGAATAGGTTACCATGGAAGCTGGAGAAATTTTCTTTTTTGCTTAAAAGAAAAAAAAGAGTAAACTCTCTGATGTTTCTTATTTCCTCTGTCTACCTAAATGAAAGGAGGTAGATAGCTAATAATAGTGGATCTTCTGTAAATTCTCAATCTTTTTATGAAATTCAGGGTGATGCAGCTGGCTTATTACACTGCATAGATGCATGCTCCTCTTTAACCAAACCATTTATAAAACAAAATAGTATAGACTGGGCCATTAGCCAACTGCATTTCATATTCTATTCAAGTACAAGTCAATTGGGTGAAAGAAAGTGTTGGTTAGTTACCATTTATCAATTATTGTACTTGATGGCCTTTCGAGCATATGTCGGGGCTGTGGAAAGTTACAAAGAAGATGAAAGTCTGGTTTCCATTTAGATTAGCAGTTGGGGAATGACCTAGCAGAAACCCCATCTAGTTAGCTATACAGACATTGAAATATGCAGCAGAGTCCTTTAGACAAAGTACCTCTACAGAAGAGTCTCTCTTCTTATCTCTGAATCTCTAGCACTGAGGCTTGTTATAACTGGCACAGGTTAAAGATCTAACTTAGTTGTTCAGTTAGTGAATCATTCTATTATAATATACTGACTCTTTTGGTTGGGCCTGACTAATTGGATTTAGATAACTTTTTTTTATTCTCAACTTTGACGAAAAAAGAGACAAAAATGTGGTTTCAGGATCTTGATAAAAATATCCACAGTATTATCTAAGATTGATGCTCATTAAATTGGGCTCATTCTTTCTTTATGGCCCCACATCTATCCTGTAGTGAGAGCTCCTGTTTTGGATTATCCTGAGGCAATTTGAAATTCTTAATCATCCAAGAAAACTAATTTTAGCTTAGTTTATTTCCTAAAGCAGGAATAGGAAACACATCTAGCACAGTAGTTTGCCAGTAGTCAGAGTTGAAGCAAAAATTTTGTGTTAACCCATCAGTTATTAATTAGAACACCACCATCCTGATTCTCCAAATAATTCACTTGGTAAATATTTTTAGTACATTGTAAACTTGTTATTGGGTTCAATAAAAATTATGCCATGAGTTAAGGAAGCAGCAGTAGCAAGTTAACAATTCTGAGATTACTCAGCTGAGTA